TTAACATGCTAAATTTTCAAACTCAATTTTCAAAATTTGAACAAAATAGTCACTTACCGCAGTAAACATGGTGATTCGTTGTGTTCGCCTGTCTGCTAAGCTCAAAACAACCGCGCCTGGCTTGACGGAGAAACCAGGAGAACAGCTGAGCATATTTACGACAGTGCACTTTTACTTTCGTCCTCTGGGGGGAGCCTCGCTGGAAAATCAACACCGGTTGCATAGTATACCTTTAAAATAAAAGAATTTCTGTTAGTATATCTTAATTTCAGATTTTTTTATATTCTTCCTTTACTGGTACACATTTTCTAAATTAAATTTTATTTTAATTAACATTTCAGTTAATTAACAAATTTAGACGTCTTGGAGAACATCATGCAAATCCACTGGATAATCTATTTTTCATTTTATTTAAAAGTGAAAAAAAATGCAGCTTTATTTTGAAAATGAAAATCATTTCTATTAATGTATTTCAATTACAAAACTGGAACAAATCTATTATTCCTTCTGAGGACTAGAACAAAGTGATTTGGACAAAGTTTGTTTTCATCTGACAGATGAATGAAAAAAAGATTATTTTAGAGCAGGAGTTTTGAATTAAATAGAAAATAGAAGAAAAAAGTCTTTAAACCTTAACTGATTTTTACTAAACTCCAAACAAAGCTAATGGTGGAACATTTAGATGTGGTTGAAGGTTTTTTTTTAGTCTTGATGCAAAGATGGTCATGTCCTGTTGAGCACATTAAAAAGAAAATAGTTTGATTTTGCAATGAATGTTTTTTTTCAGTCTGAGCATAAATGATCTGATATTTATTCTGCACCAACCGACAATGGTTGCTGCCGCTGCTCAATGATCAAGCCTTCTAAAGAGATTTTCCTTTACGAGATGAGTAAGGTTTTTTTCTAACACCTACACACCAACAAATACAATAAGAGTATTAAGAAAAGGTATGAATATCCTTCTCACTAGAAGGGACCTGATGAAACCTGTACCTGCTGCCTCTACATCCAATGTTTACCACCTGACTTTGCCTTTATTCTTCCCATAATATGGTGACAAAGACGCTGGATAAAACATTTCAAAGAGCTGTCTGCTAGACGAAGTGTGACTGAAAGCACCAGTGAGCAGGCTTCTACATGTTAACTTTAAAATAGTTCACTTGTTGACAAGCTCAACTGATTTCGTGCCACTAAAAAGCCTTTCTGGTCTTAGCTGAAGACCTTTATTTCATCGAGAAGCTTAAGCGCAGATTAATGTATGAAGAGACTTAAAAGCAAAATGAGAGATGTTACTAATGCAGACGCTAAGTGTAAATGCACACAGACATTAACTCACCTTTTTCAGTGGTTCTCTCGCCTTCTGATGATGTGGAAATATGTCGTGTCTCTTTTGCTGTTGTGGCTTTACTTGACATCTGCTGCAGCTTTTCTGACTTTTCTGAAAGAAATAAAAGCGGAACAGCATGTTTGCCTTACATGAGCAGAACAGTGAGATGTTTCTTTCTAATAACACAGACAATATGGATGAACACACTGGATCTGAAGAGGTACATGGTAAATAAACTCCTTCAAATGATCTTGTTGAAGAGTGGAGCACACAGTTTTCAGAATTTCTCAGTTGTTTTAAAGGTTTTGAATCAAGTCTAAGATTTGAAGAATGCAACAAATGCTCACCTTGTCTTAAGGCCCTCCATTTTGAAGAAAACATTGACAGTTTAATATTACATTTTGATATTTCCTTGAGAAAGAGCTGCAGCACAACTCCTGCAGGTGTGCTCACTGTCTGCTGGGTGTTGGTGTGTCAGTTTAGCTTTCTGAGGACATAGACGTGTAATTTAGGCCAACTCAGACCATTTTAACTTTATCCAACACCAACTCACAGCACGTCTCATCTCAAGGTACTTTACAGAAACAGTTCAATCAGAACGAACAGTCAGATCGGTAAAAAGTTTTCCATTTGAGGGAAAACCAGCTAATTACAAGTCACTCACTTTGCAGGATTCACTCGTGGATGAGCCTGTAGAGACAGTAGAAATGTGCTTGCATCATTGACTCTACAGCAATCCCTCACACTGCGAGGGAACGGTGGAGAGGAAAAACTCCCTTTTAACTGGAAGAAACCTTCAGCAAAACCAGACTGAGTGTGAGCAGCCATCTGCTGAGGCCAGCTGGGGTTCAAGGAGGCAGAAACAAACATACAGCAGGCACAAAGGAGCACTGATCTACAGTATAGTTTCTATGATCCCCCTTCTTTTCTATGAAAAGATAACAGCTACTGTAGCTCTCTTCATAGACGGCTCTGTCTAGGACAGAAACAGTTAAGCAGACAAGCTCTGAGCCAGTTTTCATGTCAAAGGGAGGAAGGAGCAAATCCAGAAAGTCACAGTAAAAGCTGAGCCCATAGCCTAAGAGAATAACAGGACTAAACACTGAAAACAAGCCCCACTCTGTCATCTATAATCTAATATTTTGATGGCAACATGCAAACTGGTGTTTCTCTCCAAGATGGAGTCACAACCTAACAAAAGGGAAAAAAGGAAATTTTTATGCCTTGCCTTGAAAGTAGACGGGCAATTTCTAAATACGTTTACTAGTACATTGTCATGTGCTTTTGATTCATATTGTTCTTTTCTGCAGATGAAATGATTAAAATATGCAAAGGAACACAGCAGTTTAAGAAATCCTTGTTCTTTGTCTTTGTAAAGTTAAATCCTGATGGCAAATAAAGGTAATTATGACTATTCAGCTGACTTAGGGGAATTAAAAACTAGTTCTTATTCATATGATTTGGCAGAACAGTGGATCTGATAGATGATCTGAATCCTAATCAAAGTATTTCTTTAAATGTTTGGTTTTGGAGCCCAGACTAAAACTACGTTCTGTTCAGTAAGCTATTTGCTGTAGGTCGGCAAAATGTTGATAAAATCTTGCTATAGTGACGATAAGAATAATCAGGTGTGATAAATGCCTTCTTTGTTATTTCATCTATATCTCTGACTCGTATTTCTTTTCCCAGTGTGACCATCTGCTGCAGCCAGATGGAGCCCAATAGACTAAATATTAGATTAGCACCTAAAATAGAGGATCATTATACCTGGGATGGATTAGCCAACAATATTTCTACAAGAACAAAGTAGAAATAAACAGTAAAATATATCATGAGTATAACACTGCCTTTCTGTTCTGCAGACAAATTATTACCGTCTGCACAGCTTCAACAGATTCATCTGACTCAGTTTATTTTTTTCCCTAAAAATCTTTGCTATTTAGTATTTAAAAGACAATAATCCATCTTCAAATTTCTACTGCAAGAAATATTAGGGACTATGATTTCTTAAAGTGAAACTTAAATTTTTACAGACGTTTACAGAAGTTTTTTCTAAAAGCATCTCTCACACCTTAGCTTGATCCCTTTATTAAGGTCATTTTATCAAACTAAAAGGTAAATTAAAACACCTTTTAAACTTATAATTGTACTTTAATATCCATTTTAAAATGAAATAGATTTTCTGTCAAATCAAAAATCTAAACAGAGAAAAAATTTGAATCTGTCACCAAACTGTAGTTTCTCCCAGATTTGACTGCTTTCCAAGTTATTTCAATAATAAACAAAATAAATTAATTTTTTTATTTTGGCTAAATCTCGAGTCCAGATTATTATTTTTATAGAACCGAACTAATAGCTTGGATGCTTGTGTGGTTGGATGTTTGTTTAATAGCAAAGAAGAAAGATGACTTGTAACTAATTTTTACATCTGGGACTGAATGGAGGTTTTCAGGATCAGGCTTTAAGCAAACAGGAAGAGAGACGATGATAAAGTGCAGGGTCTGCCCGCCTAATTCATGGTCTTTGCAGAATCTTGAGAGGGGTCATCTTTGATGTTAAAACAAGGCAGTTTTCCCAGACACATGCTCCTTGGTGCTATAGCCCGTGGCTCTCATCCTCTGCGTCACGTCTCCGTCTCCTTCCTTCCGCCCTGCGATCTATCTCAATCACTGTCAGACATCAGTTAAGGAGGGGTTCCCTTCCACAGCGGGATTCAAAACACTGACGTGTTACAGCAAGTCTACAGCCAGCCACCCAAAAAACTAAACTAGATAAAAAATAAAATGGGGGGTTCAAATATCCAGTCTGAAATAACCAAATAATAACTCATTTATAAACAATTAGAATTAAGGAAGCTAGTAGCTGCAGAAATATAAAGCCCCATCTTTGCAACGCACCTTTAAAGTCTTCTAATAGCATGAAAATTATTGTAAAACTACAAGTTTAAGTAGAAATATTTGGAAGAATCTTTATTTTCAATACTATCATCCTGGAGCTCAAATAACAAAATCTTTATATTTCAAACAAGCCGTTTTCCATGAAGACAAAGCCAGACTGAGGAAGTATTAACACGGATGAGCTCACAGCACAGTTTCTGTATGACTCAAGTGTGTAATGAGTAGGCCTGCGTGAATGTGTGACTCTGTAGGAGTGATTTATTGTTGAGGCTAAGCCTCATGCAGGTACTTCTGCCCCCACTAGAGTTGCCACCCAGCAGTCAGACATTCAGTAATCCTCAAACAACTTTAATTAAAGCCAAAGTAAAACTGAAAACAACTTTGTTTCACCACACAACACAATTTCCATCAGCTTCTAAAAAATAGAAACTTCCCAGAATAAAATCCAACACTGCTCTTCCGTATACAGCTTCTACTTTTAGGTCTGTTGTCTTATTAGCAATCAACTTAGCATAGCACAAAGATGTCAGGTCTGAAAAGCTCTGTTCTAATCCCAGGAGACTAGCGAGATTAATTTAGAAGACACTTGACCCAGCATTTTAAATCATCTTTCTACTGAAATATTTATGTAAATAAACTTGTGTTATTCATTTAAAACTAACCCTAAATGTTAGAGCAACATGAAGTCTCAGACCTATTGTGGAAGAAGGAATAAAATGTAAAATATACTGTAGACCAAGATTTGAAAGATCAAAATAAGTACAAACAAAAAGCATTTTAGATCAACTTTTCTGTTTTACATTTTTCTCCAGTAGTAACATTTAGCGCTATTATTATAGCTTCTAATAACCACCATCCAGAAGATTTGATTTATTCTCTTTCATCATTCAATATTTATTTTAATAAATCATATTTTGATTACTCATTTTTACTCTCTTTTATTATTAATGCTATCTAAATGCCACTGCACTTATTGCTTGCTACTGAAATTGACGGTAAACAAATAGTACAATTTTTTTTAATAGTTTTATAACGGCTTATATTAGCGATGCTCCTCAAGGTTTAAAGTCTTTTAGAAGAAAGTCAACAGAAAGAGCTGGAATGACTGGAGCATGCAGTAGTACGCGGCCCCTCCCCTACTGGTTGCTGCGCACTGCTGTTCAGCCAGTAAAGTATTAATAAGTATTAAACCAGTATGACAACTATAAACACAACAAAAATGATTAATTTTTGTGGTGAAACTCTAAAATAACTAATCATTCTAATATAACAAAGCTGACAACTAAACTATTGGCAGCTCGTTTTTCAGATAATTATTACTGTTTTATGTCTGGGGTTGACAGAGGTCAATAGATAATCTCCAAACATTATTTAAAACCATAAATCATTAGGTATTGGCTGTGGATCAAAGGAAATCATTTGGACGATTTACTCCTGAATCCTGCAGTCTTTGTAACTCTGCCAATTTGAAATGTGATAGGTGCTTCCCAAACACACAGCGGAGTCCGGTTGCACAGGTTCTTCCTTACCGCTAAATCTAAATATTGTTACAAGAGAAACTGAGTGGCACTGATTTAGTGCTGCTATAAAGAAACTTCATTTTAAAACATACCTGACCTGAATATGAGATATGGATTTAAATAGTATTACAGATAAAATGAAAAGTACACACATCATGCTTGTTATGTACAGTAATTGGGATCAAGAGCTCAAGAATTCCCTTCATACAGTCTAAAAATATTTGAATTAATATTGTAAAAAAATGAGAAAGCACAAACACACCTGACTTAATGCTGAAGAGATGAATATTTCAAAATGGATCAGACCAAATAAATTATTTTAGGGCAATAATGTAATTGAATCTGATAAATGTGTCAAATAAAACCACTGAGTTTCACTTGTTTCATGCTGGTTTTAACCTACAATAACGCTACACCATGTTCTTCATGTAGAATAAAGTATATTTAGTGGTCGAATCAGAAAACAAAAACCTTGATTTCAACCATTTTGAATTGTTGAAACAGAAATATCCAAGTCAGTAACAGCTTAAGTCGGGCATACACTGTGTGATATTTTCAATTGTTGCACGCAGCTACGGCTCACAATGTACGACGAAACCCCAGGGTTTAAAAGTTCACAGCTCATGATGTATGTTCTCACACTGTAGGGCCCGACGCTCTGGTGTGATCTACCTGCTCACACGTC